AATTTTATTAGCTTTATTCTTTTCGAATAACATTGAAAAAGATAGATTATTCCTATCTCAGTTTCTGAAATTTTGCGGAACTTCAAAGTTTTTTCTATAGCAGCAATGATTTTTGGGCACAAAAGGCTTACATATTTTCATTTCACAGACTGGAAGATTAAAGAAAAAAAAAAAAAAAAAAAAAAAGTCAAATATAACCTTTTTGCAAACTCATAATTTATGGTTATAAAAAAATTATGATTTGGACCTATATTTTATTAGACGCAATGAGATTTGTATATAAATTAAATACCTTAGTAATAAGTGGACAGCTTCTACAGTTTACGACATCCATGGCAGTGACAGTTTTCCTTTTTGCATGCTCAGTATAGGTAACTGCATCTCGAAAGCTCTAAGGTTGTAACCCAGCTAATATACTTTAAGGTTCTAATAAGCCACTAAAGCATCAGAGTGATAAGTTGTTTTGTATTATTTTAAGTCTCACTAGATGCGAAGAATACACTTTACATGAATTTTTATATTTTTGTGTTTTATCTTGTGACCACGGTAAGGATTAATGAAAGACAATAACTCGCTTTAATATGCAGAGATAATTTTTAAGGGTAAACAGTTAGTTATAAATAATTAAATTAAGTAGTTAGATAACCTCAGTCATTATGGATTTACATGGCCACTATTACATTTTATTTAATTTTAACAATATTTGTTAAAGAAGCCCTATTTAAATCACAATCTAATAAAATTTCAGAGTGTAAAATACATGTAATTTATAACACTGATTCTTTACCAATATTAGAATAATTACACATTAAAAGCTATAAAATATTTATATTTTGTACAACAAAATACTTATGCATCTTTTTAATTTGAAGCCTTCCCAAACATTTTGGCTAATTTATATCGATTTCCTTCTCTTTAAGCATACTTTCTAATCGTTAGAAATTTGTCTCAATATGCAACCAATGTTCTCACTAGTTTCTGCTTTATCTCCTAACTTGACAACCTCTCCACAATGTACTTATGAGGCTTTACTTGATCTGATCAAAATTAAATAGTTCCTCCCTGACAGACGTGAAGCAAATTATCGCTATGTCTGAAAGTAACTAAGACTTAAACAAGCCTCTTATTTAAAAAGACCTTAGAACATAAAGGCATGTTTTTATGCTAACAAAATTAATTACAGCTCCTAGTGATGTAATTAAGAAGAGTCAAATTCAAACTAATAATATGGAATAGTGGTCAAAGACTATCTAATTTAATTTTTATTTAAGCTGGCTTAGTAACTCTATCATCATAAGAAATTCAAATGTTAGCAGCGATAATGCAAAGATGAATAATTATAAATTATCAGAACTGGCAGGAACCAACGCAGTGACACACTCTGTCTTACACTCCAAAAACCTCAGTTTAAAAACTAAGTGATTTGCATTCTGGTAAGGAAATAGAAATGGGAAATTATAGTAAATGCTGAAATTATAAACAACTGGTTAATTCATATAATAATAACTGAACATATCTTTGATGAATAATTTTCTTTCTCTTTACATATTCAGTTTCTTTCTTCAACAGGTTTCCTTTTCATTTTAGAATTTAATTAAAGATTTTCTGTTATTCTAAAACACTGAATGCATTTAGTTTTAGAAAAAACTGCTAATTTTATTTCTTTGGTAATATGAACATTCAGAAAAAATATGCCAGTTACAGAGCTAGAATGACAGAATTTTTAGAATTTAGTGACACACTGAGCAACAAAATCTAGAAATGGTTAAACTTTTAGAATTTAGAGCAGGCATTGGAAGCAGAATTTAGAAAGGCACTAAGCAACAGAATTCAGGATCCAAAGAGATTGCACCAGCTCGGAAAATTCCTAGCGCCAGCCCTGTCGTGTTTCAAGAATTCTGTTAAACTGCAAGCTAGCCTTACTTTGGTCCATCATAAAGGATACACGTCAACAGTTATCCAAAATTGAACATAAGCTCTATAAGCTTCATCTGGAACTCTCTAATTCATATCCAGAATTCCCTGTCATTGAACAAAAGTCTTGGTCTAGAACTGAGAATGCAGTTAACCATCATAAAAACACCCTTGCAGTTAAATTCGAAAAACATCTTTTACAGTCTTTCAATTTAAGTAGTTCAAAAAAATCTTCCCATTGTAAACATTAAGCTAATAGTTAATATTTCTAGTGTTAGTTTATCAGAAGAACAAGAGAGAATTCTAAAATATAATTTTAACTTCTCACAAACCTCTAAACTCTCGATTCCAAAGATTCTGGCTCCTATCGAAAAAGCTTTCAAGTTCAGAAAGTTACAGAAAGAAATGATTAGGCATCTTATCACTCATAATGTGAAATTCAATAATAAGGCTTTGAAACCAAATCTAAACGCGAGAGAAAGAGCTACAATGCATGGAATTCATTCTAACCCGGATATTATCATTTCAAAGGCAGACAAAGGTGGCCGGATAGTCATCATGGATAAGAACACTTACATTGATAGTATCACTAAACTTTTAAACGAAGGACCATATATTCTGATCCCGAATGACCCTTCACCTTCGGATCTCTCAAAAATAAAAACTGCGATCAAATCTTCACATACTCTTTCGAGCAACTTAAAACGGTCGCCTATTCCAACTGTTGCGATTTGTGCCAGATTATACACTCTTTCCCAAATCCATAAAAGTTGTATTCCTTTCTGCCCTATTGTATCAAATTTAGACACTGTCTCGTATCTGTTAGCTAAATATTTAGTTTCTAGATTTTCAACTCTATTAGATTTTTATGGTGATAACATTTACACCATAAAAAATTCACCAGAGTTCGTAAAAAAAGTTAAAGCATTTCTCCTAGAAATTTACTCATGGTTTCTTTTGATATAAAATCATTATTCACCAATGTTCCAGTGGAGGGTGCATTAAGATGTCTAGACACCAGACTTTGCGAATTTCATTTCTCTTGCATTGAAATTGATGAGCTGATTTCCCTCACTCAACTCTGTTTGAAACAAATGCATTTTGTTTTCCAAAATAAATATTACAGCAAACTGAGGGATTAGCCATGGGAAGCCCCTTGAGTCCCATCCTGGCTGATATCTACATGCATTATTAATTTCCCAGTATGGTTCCGCTACGTAGACGATCTTTTACCCTGTTTGAAGGTAATAAAGATGATTTAAATAAAGTTCTTTCAACAATGAATTCAATTGATCCTGCTTTCAGTTCACTTTTGAACTTGAGACTTGCAATTCTCTTTTGTTTCTTGGCATTATGGTCACATGTAACACATCTAACTTCAGTACTATGGTTTACTATAAACCTTCATTAGTTTGCCATCCACCACATTTCAAATCATGCCATCCTACTCGACAAAAGTTAGCTTCATTTTATTCCTATGTTTTCCGTACTCTTCAAGCTTGTTTCTCCAAATCATCTCTTGATGAAAAATCATCTCTTGATGAAGAACTAAATTATTTAAAAGCAGTAGCTATTGACAGGAGTTTTTCACCCAACATTATTATTAACTCGGAATTTTATTAATGGGAAAATAATTGACTCGAAAGTTAAATTTCTGTAAAATACCTGCAACTTTATAGCTAATTGATGGAAAGAAGGGAATGACAACATAGTTTTTATAATCTCCTGGGTGTGTTGAGATGAGAATTTTTTAACTGCTAAAAAATTCTCTGTTAAAAAATTCTCATCTCAACACACCCAGGAGATTATAAAAACTATGTTGTCATTCCCTTCTTTCCATCAATTAGCTATAAAGTTGCAGGTATTTTACAGAAATTTAACTTTCGAGTATTATTCTCCCATTAATAAAATTCCGAGTTCTATACTCAAGGACCCCATTCCAGATATGAATTCTTGGGGTATTCACAGGATTCCTTGCCTGTGTGGTTTAATTTACATTGGTCAAACTAAGAGAGCCTTAAAATTTCACACCAAGGAACATGAGGTGTATTTTAGAAAAATGGAAACACAGAAGTCTTCTGTTGCCCAGCATTGTTGGTCCGAAAATCAAACTTTCAATTTTTCTGCAGCCAAAACTATAAAAAAAAAAAAAAAAAAAAAAAAAAAAAAAAAAAAAAAAAAAAAAAAAAAAATTCTGTTCTAGTTAACAACTCTAATTCCAACCCATCTTTGCCTTTAAAGAAATTATGTTTTAGTTCTGGTTTCATCAACAGATGGTGCCAGTAGCTTGACACCTGTCCAGTCTTTCTTATCTTATCTAATCACTATATCTTATCTTGTTCATTTGCGCTTTTGCAGCTGAGGATGATGATTCGGTAAAACCATCGAAATAGTCCTGTGAAAATTTAAAATTATAACGCTGATTTTTGTTGTTGGACTTCTAAATTAATACTTGTTTGGTGTGCTGTTATAGCCTGATTATATTATTCTTGTAAAACTGTTTCAACATTCTATGCTCCTGGTTGTGGACAAATATGAATCTTAAGCCTTTATTTCTATTAATATCAATTAAAAGTGTGAAAAGTATCTAAAGGAAGTATAAACCACCTGTTAATAAATTGTTTTTTCAATGGAAAGCCCTCATCTATGACGTTCTATAATTAACACCCCTCCTAAATAACTCTTAAGCATTTAGGCAGAACAGTTCAGGCCAAGGCAACTGAACTGTGTTAAGAATAAAGGCGTGTTATTCATCCAATATTACACTTTCATTATAATCATCCAGATGTTCATCATCATCTATGTATGACTCAAAATTTGTAAGACACACACACATATATATTATGTGTCTTACATGCACAGCCTTCCCAACTTTAAAAAGAGTAGATTCAAAACTGAATGATTATTATATCTGTTTCGAAGGTTCTTGAATACTGCTGTGATGCTTAGATCGTTGAAATTTTCAAAGGTACCTAAAAACAACTGATAAGTTTTCAAATTTCTCTAACTTAAAAATGAAATTAATAGCATTTTCATTACAGGTGTTAAATTATTTATATTTGACATAATAATTTACAATAACTTACCTATTTTTACAGGAAATCCAACTGGTAACTTCATTTTTACAAAATCTCTTAATTTCTTGAAATGTTTAAAAGGAGCAATTACTTCCAGTACATTCAAAAGTCTGTGGGGAAAAAAAAGGGGACTGCAAAAAACATGCAAGATAAACAATTTAATTTGCATAAAATTTAACTTGTAAAAAGCACGAAGTTCAAACAATGTAAATGATGAATATGGTAGGTGCAGCATCTGCAATTAACATAATCAAAGTAAAATATTGCTACTTTTCAAGAAGTCGTCTAGACATATCAGTATATTTACTATTAACAGACCAAACAGGCCTTGTTCTTGAGGGACTACCTGTTTGGACAAATAAACTAATTAGTCTCGAAATGTGATTTTGTGTTGAATCACTGTAAATGGCGTTTCAACACAAAAAGATGATAAATAGGAAACATTCTTAATCATAGTACATAAACACAGCAAAATAAGATTTAAAAAGAATGAATAAACTACTGCAGAGAAAGTAATAATTTACAGAAAACTTATAAAAACCAACACATGAAAAAGGATTTTCCATTTCTCATGCAGAGAAATAAATGTAAAAATAATAGCCTGTTTTTGACTAATTGATGAATTATTGAACAAGGCCAAATAATTTAAAAATATTTAAATAATAAATTCTTAAATTAAATTGAGAATTAGCTTCCAACCCCAATATCCAATGAGTGGAACAGAACAGTAAATGGCTAAATACTTTCGTAATTGTACAATAACAAAAGCTAAAACAAAGGAAAAACTATATATATGACTCTTTATTAGGCCCAAAAGGGCTATTAGTCTCGAAATGGGATTTTGTGTTGAATCACTGTAAATGGCGTTTCATTTTTCAAATGATGCTACCAAATATTACACATTATATTTGAGGAAACTAAATACTTAAGAATCTGCATGAATGTATGTATACTTCTCGCATTTTGAAAAAACGATGGTACCTACAGCCATCAAATTTTAAATAATGCAATCCTCCACCCAAACATTGGCATCTGGAAGTCTGAATTTTGAATTTGTTTTACAGTACAAAGTCTTTAATCCGAACTCGTCGGGACTTTGGCGATTCCGGATTATAGATCATCAATTTAAATCTGGTAAGATGGCATGCAGAACTTATAAAATTAAAAATATGAAACCGTAATTTATGAAATAAAGAGCAATTATGATCTAAAGGGTATCAAAATTTTCAACAAAAAAAAGCTTATATATTTATTTGTTTACTTTATTAAATATTTCTTTCTATGTAAGTTGTTTAAGTTACTTCGTTTTATGTGCTAATACTTTCTCTTTAATTCTATAAACAGACATAATTTCTTGTTCAGTTACAAAGTTCCGCTGTTCAAGTCCTGTAATTGCTGTGCCGAGAATACCGAGTAACTCGTCAATCGAAATTTTTTCATTTTCGCTAACCTCTCTGTCACTTTTCTTCATGCCTTTATCCATTTTTTGCAGCAATTCCACTTTTTGTTTGATGGTCATCGAAACATGCTTTTGCTTTGTAAATCCTTTCTTTGGCAGCTCCAGAATCGGAAACTCTTTTTGACATAATTGAAAGTTCAAGCTTACTTTTTATAAAATTGCTCTAACAGTCTGCAAAAATTAATAAGCTGGATCCAATTAGAAGATTAAGGAACAACGCAATCATTAACATTAACTGAAATAGATAATTAGATAATTTTAGCCTAGCTTATACTATCCATTATACATTAAACACGCATGCGTAAACATATTATACGGATGCATAAATGCATATGCGCATGCGTAAAGGTATTATGCACATGCATAAATGCTATGCATGCGCAGAAAGTTTGTAGCTTTGATGTCCGAATTATAGATCATTCCGGATTATGGACGTCCGGATTAAAGACTTTGTACTGTATTATCTATTTCACATTTTGTAAAACTTTAACAAATTTTACTTAACAAACTTGATGATTTAAAAGCAAGCTGTGGCAACACTATACAGAATAAAACCTTTTTATTATTAGCGTGCAAGACTGTCTATCGAAAAAATGTTAAACATATTGTGACTTTGCTGTTTGTTGAATTGAATTTTATGTGGCATAAGTGTGAAAATCATGATATTTAATAAAGTTAACACTTGAAACATTAATAATAAAAAGACAAAAAACACTTTTCTAACCATCTTACTAGGAAAACCAAAAACTGATATGATGAATTGAGAACAAATATAAAAATGTATACCAACACTTAACACTGCATTGGAAAGTCGAAGTTTTGTTTAATTAAAAATTTTTTGATTTTGCTGTTGAACTGTATATGGCATAAGTGTGAAGAAAATGATGCTTAATAATGAAATTAAAAGACAAAACAACTGGGTTAGCAGGAGTGAGTAAAACAACTGATTAAGTATACTGCGAGCTCAAGCAAGAGTGTAAAAAAAATTAACAAACCCTTTTAGGCTACCATTAAAATCTGAAATCTCTCAGATTTATTTTTTGACACAAAACATCTATTTTGTATTCTAGAATACTATTTGCTACAGAATATTTTAAAAAACTAGGTATAAAGTATACATAAACTTCCTGATGAAGATGTAGCAATTTATAAAGTATACATAAATTTCCTGGTGAAGATGTAGCAATGTCCAGACTTTATGGGCATTACTTGGCTTGTCTGGAGATACTGAAATACTTAAGTTCTAGAACATTATTTAAAATATATCTTAGCATTAGCATATTTTTAATGTGCCAATTCATTATTCTAGAACTGATTATGATATTGGAATTTGCTTAATTTATGCTTTTTGAGTTTAATAAATTTGGCCACTTAATGTTGGCTATGACACAAAATTTACATTTTGATTTTGAACTTAATTTGTCTTTCATTGAATTATTTAAGCTTCTCTCTCATATCTACATCAGTATCTCTATATCTCATTTCTCATACCATAAATTTCTCATGGAGTATGTTTAAACAACATTTAAATATTTCTAGTGGCATTTTTATACAAAAACATTACACAATTCTGTTCTATTTGGTACATTTAATCCACATATTGTACAAGGAATTGATGGAAAAGCCCTATAAGGCAGTGAACTCAAACTACAAGTGCGCCAAATGCATGATCTGAAGCAGCTGACAGGCCAATTTTTTGTGTTTAAAAAGATGAAACTTTTTTTTTTAACTAAAAATTTTACTTACAAAATATTTATCAAAAAGCATGAGTAAACAATAATAATAATGGTTCAAAATAAAAATTTCAATTTATACATATTTTCTGAATGAACAAAAAGTTTTTGTTGGTTACACTTTGCAATTCAAAGAAACTGACACCTAAATAGTAAAAATTGTTCACATGTATTCCCAAACAAAGTGATTATTCTTATTGCAAACATTCAGGGGTATTTATTGTTTTACAAGTATGAAAAAGTCTGAATGTTAAAATCTTTGAATAAGGTTTATGTCACAGTATAAATTAATTAGCTACTTTTGTAGGTTTTTATGGGCATTACTCGTTTTTTTAATATTAATGAAATCGGCTTCAATAAAATCAATAAAATTTTAAACCTTTCTTCAGATTCTTACCATAATAAATAATGTCACAATAATGGTAATTACTCAGTGAAAAATGTATTTGTGGGCAGCATAAAATTGCTTCAGGGGTCGTATGGGGCTCATAGGTTGCCACTTTGAGACCACTGGTCATAAAGTATTTATACAAATTCAATAAATTACTACAGTACAAAGTCCGAAATCCGGACTTGTCGGGACTTCAGCGATTCCGGATTTTTCCGGATTATAGATCATCAATTTAAATCTGGTAAGACAGAATGCAGAAATTATACAATTAAAAATCTGAAACCGTAATTTATGAAATAAAGAGCAATTATGATCTAAAGGGTATTGAAATTACACACACACACACACAACACACAACAAAAAAAAAAAAAAAAAAAAAAAAAAAAAAAAGCAGCTTAATATTTATTTGTTTACTTTATTAAACATTTCTTTCAATCTAAGTTGTTTAACTTGCTTTTTCTTTTCTTTTCTTTCTTTTTTTTTTTTTTTCTTTTTTCTTTCTTTCTTTCTTTCTTTTTTTTTTTTTTTTTGTGTGTGTGTGTGTGCTAATACTTTCTCTTTAATTCTATAACCAGAAATAATTTCTTGTTCAGTTACAAAGTTCCACTGTTCAAGTACTGTAATTGCTGCGTCGAGAATACCGACTAACTTGTCAATCAAAATTTTTTCGTTTTCAGTAACCTATCTGTCACTTTCTTCACTATCGCTAGCGATATTTTCCGGATCTAGAACCATACTACAGATTTTTCCGTCCATTAACTGATTGATGATTGGGGCATTTTTGTCGCAATGAAAAACTTTTATTATATCATCTTCATTTATACCCGCTTCTCCACATTTCTTTACAAAATCCAATAACTGGAAAATTTCACCTTTAGTTTGCGATGATTCACCAAGGTTCGTAGCCACATTTTAGTTAAAAAAATAAGCACATATAAGCACTTTTTAAGCACATTTTAAGAAAAAAATAAGCACCTGTCATTATACACAACTGCATAACCTTAAAAGTAAAATTAGACTTGCAATTTAAAATATGAGCAATGCAATATTTATTAAGAGAATAAGCATTACCTCAACCATGGAAAACAATTAACTTTTTTTTTTTTTTTTAATTTTAAATGACACTTCAATTTACTATACAAAACTATGCAGAACTAAACTATATTACAAGATCTAATGGATTGAAATTTCAGTTCAAAATATAGAAAATAAAAATAAATAATCTATATTAGTGTATTTCGCTTGGTACCTAATAATAAATACAATTTATTTTTCCACTCATAATAATATTTAAATAATTTAAATCAAAATTCTGAACATTTTCTAAATTTTCATTGCATAACAATTTTCCCTTAACAAATATTCCAAGCAAAGTAATTTAAGTAAAAAAGAGGAACATTTCTGAAATCAGGAGATGGGAAATTGCTTCATGCAGTCATCCTTTAACAGTAAAAGCTTAACTAAGCCGCATATTCGGAAATTGCCGAATATTCCGTATAGACGAGCGTAACTGGAAAAAGAGGAGAG